TGTCTGTTGTTCTGTCCATTTATCTGTCTGTCCATCTGTTGTTCTGTCTGTCTGTCTGTCTGTTGTTCTGTCCGTCCGTTGTTCTGTCTGTCTGTTGTTCTGTCTGTGTGTCTGTTGTTCTGTCCATTTATCTGTCTGTCCATCTGTTGTTCTGTCCATCTATCTGTCTGTTGTTCTGTCTGTCTGTCTGTTGTTCTGTCTGTTGTTCTGTCCATTTATCTGTCTGTCCATCTGTTGTTCTGTCCATCTATCTGTCTGTTGTTCTGTCCATCTATCTGTCTGTTGTTCTGTCCGTCTGTCTGTTGTTCTGTCCATCTATCTGTCTGTTGTTCTGTCCATCTGTCTGTTGTTCTGTCCCATCTATCGTCTGTGTGTCCGTCTGTTGTTCTGTCTGTGTGTCTGTTCTATCTGTCTCTTCATCTGTCTTTTTCTGTCTGTCTGTTGTTCTGTCCATCCATCTGTCTGTCTCTCCATCCGTTCTGTCTGTCAGCGGTCAGGTCGACACACAGCTAGTAGCTCCCATGAGTCCTTCAGCATTCAAGCAGATAAAAAAGAGAAAACACGACACAATCACTTCATCAACACGGCGCAGCCCTACAAATCCAGGGTAAGACGAGTGTTTGAGCGTGTTTGTCTGTCGCATCTCTCGCCGCATCGTGTGTTTGATCGTGTGTTTTTCCTCCTCAGCTGGACTCTGTCTCCGAGCAGCAGAAGAAGAAGAGTAAGGAGGAGGTGGTGGACATCGACGATCCAGAGACGCGCAGGTTCCCGTACCCCTTCAACGAGCTGCTGGTGTGGGCCGTGCTGATGAAGCGGCAGAAGATGTCTCTGTTCTTCTGGCAGCACGGCGAGGAGTCCATGGCCAAAGCTCTGGTGGCCTGCAAACTGCTGCGCTCCATGGGATACGAGGATACGAGGCGCGACGTGGTGGACGACACCTCCGAGGAGCTGAAGGAGTATTCCAAGTGAGTCTCTGTCAGTCGAGTCCCCTTCATTTCTACAATACAGACTGTTTCAAACAGCTTCACGGTAATAAATGACAAAACAACAGAATCATTGATGCAAACTTTTGAAATGAGGCTGCTGTGTCTTCATTCTGTTCATACCCGTCAACCCTCCCGTTTTTCCTGCGATTCTCCCGTATTTTACCATTCTATCCTGCTATCATCCCGTTTAAATATTTTCCCGTTTTCCTGTTTCAGATTTAAAGGGATAGTTTACCCATGTTTTTTCTCACCCTCAAGGCATCCTAGATGTATATGACTTCCTTGTTTCAGACGAATCCAATCCGAGTTATATTAAAAATTGTCCTGGCTTTTCCAAGCTTTATAATGGCAGTGAATGGGTGTTTTTGTTCAACAGTCCAAATGAAATCAAATAAAGCGCATCCATCCACGTCATCCGCGCGGAATGGCTTCCGCGATCAACAGTTAGCAGAAGTGTTTATAACATTTTAAATATGGATATTTTTCTTACAAAAGCGCATGGATTCGATACAGGATTCCTTTATTCTCTCCCCAGAGCCGTGTGAGGCACCTTTTATTATGGATGGATGTGCTTTATTTGACTTTTTTTTTTTTTAACTGTTGAAAAAATAACAGCCATTCACTGCCATTATAAAGTTCTGTCTGTCTGTCTGTTGTTCTGTCTGTTGTTCTGTCCATTTATCTGTCTGTCCATCTGTTGTTCTGTCCATCTATCTGTCTGTTGTTCTGTCCATCTATCTGTCTGTTGTTCTGTCCGTCTGTCTGTTGTTCTGTCCGTCTATCTGTCTGTTGTTCTGTCCATCTGTCTGTTGTTCTGTCCCATCTATCTGTCTGTTGTTCTGTCCATCTGTCTGTTGTTCTGTCCATCTATCTGTCTGTGTGTCCGTCTGTTGTTCTGTCTGTGTGTCTGTTCTATCTGTCTCTTCATCTGTCTTTTTCTGTCTGTCTGTTGTTCTGTCCATCCATCTGTCTGTCTCTCCATCCGTTCTGTCTGTCAGCGGTCAGGTCGACACACAGCTGGCAGCTCCCATGAGTCCTTCAGCATTCAAGCAGATAAAAAAGAGAAAACACGACACAATCACTTCATCAACACGGCGCAGCCCTACAAATCCAGGGTAAGACGAGTGTTTGAGCGTGTTTGTCTGTCGCATCTCTCGCCGCATCGTGTGTTTGATCGTGTGTTTTTCCTCCTCAGCTGGACTCTGTCTCCGAGCAGCAGAAGAAGAAGAGTAAGGAGGAGGTGGGATTCATCGACGATCCAGAGACGCGCAGGTTCCCGTACCCCTTCAACGAGCTGCTGGTGTGGGCCGTGCTGATGAAGCGGCAGAAGATGTCTCTGTTCTTCTGGCAGCACGGCGAGGAGTCCATGGCCAAAGCTCTGGTGGCCTGCAAACTGCTGCGCTCCATGGGATACGAGGCCAAGAAGAGCGACGTGGTGGACGACACCTCCGAGGAGCTGAAGGAGTATTCCAAGTGAGTCTCTGTCAGTCAGACCGAAACCAAAAACACTGGTG